GAGCCAGCGAGGAGAAGTAGGAAACCAGAGGAGACTTTGAGGTTCATTGGGCTTGCCAGTTTCAGAGTAGAACTGTTCTGCAAAATACTCTATTTTCCCCAACAAGTTCATTCCTTTTCCTTTTCCTTTCACGTTGTACTCTCCTACATCCACTTCCCCAAAGTCGCTTGAATCTACCGTCGCGTTCGGTTTCTGTATGCATACATCTGTGATTTAGTGGGATCCACACTACACGGATAGGCAATAACAAGGAAAGCGAAGTGGGTCCATGCACGTACCAACCAATCCCAGAGGCCAGTTTGAATGAACTGCTTGGGGATGATGACATCTCCAATGGACATGGAACTGTTCGCATTTCCGGCAATCCCAAAGTGAACGATTCCACTTATGTCAAACACATCCAACATCTGCTGTGTGGCTGCTGCCGCATTCACCTGCATACATATACATGTACACATACATACATACATACATGAGAATGATGGGAAGCCAATCAATCAAATATTCAATACATAGTATACGCCATAATCAATGGGAAATCTTTGTCTTCATCTATTTGTATGGAATGTTCGATTTGTTCAACTTTGTCTAAAAGCATATATATCACCACACATTATTCAGTTATAACTAGTAACTGACAATTCTAAGCTACGTATTTAAAATATAGTTATATTTATTTTCAAGTACTTTTCAATCCTAAGAGCGATTTCTTTGCTCGTTTTATTATACAGAATTAGGGCTGTACACAGCAGAGTTGAGTCAGGCATAATCCCTACTTAGTTTAGTGTTCTACCCAAGGACCACGTGTTCGGGTTGAGTTTGGCCCGATGAACCCGAACAACTCTAGCAAGGCCGAGCATATCAGGCCATCAGCTCACTTGAATAGTGTGCTAATAGATATATATATATAACATTTGATTTTTCTTACAAAAAAAATTCAAAGAAGTGTTTGAATTAAAAATTACAAAAATCTGTGATTATGCATGCATGCATGTATGTGTGTGTATATTATTTATCAAAAAAAAAAAAGGAACTACACTTGAATAACTAGAAATAATTTTTTTTCCCTTGTCCCATTCAAATATCATGAACTAACTCCGCACAACACATTTTTTTTGAGTCACATAGACACACACAAAAACAAATTGATAGCACATAATTAAATAACAAAAAATATGATCCAGTCAAATAACTATATAAATAATAAAAAAAAGGATATGACGAGATCTAAGGTTTGTGTACCAGTCCAATCCCACATTTGACATAGATAACTTTGCTATCATGCACCTTTCCCACCCTGAATCTTCTTCCTGCATCATTGTATATCAAATACACTCTATACATGATCTTCTAATTCAAAACTTGAAACTATAAATATGTGCGACCTGCGAGATCCACAAAGGGCTGTTTGGGATCAGATTTGAAGGCTTTGGTAGCGAAGAAGGCCTTCTCCTCAGGTGCATACACTGTGATGAGGCCGATGTACGGTCCCTTTCTGTTTATCTCTTTGATCGTCGTTGACTTTCTCGATCTCTTCAGTGGTGCTGCCGGTGAATGACAAGTTGAAGAGACAAGAATGACGAAGAAGAAGACCACAGCCAAACACTGCCTTACGAGCGTCCCCGGAGCTGCAGCCATGGCTGATATATTAATTGAGTTCAGGCAAGTTGCTTCCCACCGCACATTTGGCCATCTTTTATGATCACTCCCTCTCCATATAATATTCTTTCATTTCCTTTTATTTTATTGATTCATTTTTAATCAATTTGGAATTTCGTCAGTTCATATATTGCAAGAGACACATCCGATGCAATTATTGAAGTTGGGACCACGTGATGCACATTTCAATATATTTAAACTTTTCTTGAGATTTGATCGTATCTCGTGTCGGTGAGAAACCAATTTTTTTTAAGCAAGTTGCTGCGATTATTGATCCTAGTGGATGAGTAGAATTTAAGACTCAGGACTAATATTTAATCTCAGGATATTCAACAACTATGAAGTATTAATCCTAACAATAGTGGCAAAATTAAAACTATGTCTTAGTAGATGAATATGTTTTAATTTTATATATAGTACCATGCAACGAGCATGAAAGGAGAGCCTATCCTAAAAAATTAGCTTTGTTAGGTGAAAAAGCCCTTTACATTTATAAATCTCACACTACTTGTGAAGCTTCCCGATGTGAGACTTGTGACAATGCCACCCCGTCAAAAATCGACATCCCTAACAGCTTCACTCCACGGCACTTCACTCGATCTTTTGCTAGTCAGAACCCTCTGTGGGTAACCTTTTCCATGATACCGGCCTCTTAATGAAAGCAATAATATAATGAGCACAAGTTCGAAGGAAGAATCCATCTAAAAAAACTAGCCTTATTAGGTGACAGAGCCCCTCATATTTATAAATCTCACATTACTTGTAAAGCTTCCTGATATAGAATTTATGACATACCATGTAGCAGATATTGAATAAGATAATTAACATAAAATGTGTTTTCCTGCACAAGCAATTGAAATAGAAAAATAAAATAGATTATGAATATTATAAATTCTTCAATATCTTTAAAATTGTGTTATAAACTTAAAGGTCATGCATCGTTTATATAATTTCATTTAATTATAAATTTTTTTAATTAAAAAAAGTCAAAAAATGTCTTTTGATTTTTTTTTAAAAAGGGGATGTAAAATGTCAGAAATGATCTAGTCGCTTGTATCGTTCTTATCCATGACCAATCATGATAGAGGGAAATCAACCACGTGACGTCAACGCCTCAACTTGTCAGAAGAATGTGCTCCTTTCTCTTCTCTCTCTCTCTCGCCCTTTTACCAACATTTTCCATTTCCCTCACATGGATCAATATTCAATTATGTCTTTTTAACACAATATATAGAATAAAATATCAAAGTTTTAAAAATTAAGCTGGATATTAAATCTTGGACTGATTTAAAAATTAATGATTAATGGTTCAATCAGTTTTAAAAATTAGGTTGAATAATAAATCTGACAAGAGACTGATTTAAAGGTTAATGGTTCAATCTTAATTGGATCAATTTTGATTAATTTAATATATTTTAAATTATATATATGAATCATAAGATAAATTCATCTATAATAAAAATTAATATTTAAATAAAAATTCTTATACAATGATAAGAAAATTATAAGTTGTTTACTTTTATTTAAAATAATAGTATTTTAGTATATTTCATTTTGTAAGCATAAATAATACTTCCTCTATCTCAAATTATAAAATACTTTTAAGGAAGATTCAACGTCTCAAAATAGAAGACACTTTGATAAAAATAAAATTTTATTAATGATATTTTTTTAATATTGTCCTTCCTATATATTCTCTCTCTTTAATATTTTTTTATTGATAAAGTATTAAATGAAGAGTATTTTTAAAAATTTATATTTTTATTTTAAAAAATAAGATTGTAAAGTATATTTAGTAAATTTTATTAATATATAAAGTTTTATTTAAAAATATTTTATAATTTAAAATGAAGGGAGTATTATATGAATCTATTTGGCATTGGGGACGAGGGGTAGTTAAAAAAACATCTATTTATGAATACTAAAATGTCAAATGGTGCCGTTCACGTGAAAAGAGGGAAGAAATCGTACAGCAAAAAAAAAAAAAAAACGAAGTAAGTTGATCCGTTGGACTGGCACACGTATTCTTTCTCTGAAATGGCACATTCGTTAGCTTCTTTCGTTCCTTTCACTGTTGAATTGCAGCTTCCCTCACATCTTATCTGATGGCTTCCTCATAGATCGTGTAGTTTTATGACTGAAAAAACAATTCTAAGGTGCTTTTTTGCTACAAAATGTATTCTTATTTGTTTTTTTTAAGTCTATTTTATTCTTTTAATTTTCATCTTCTCTCTCACGCGTCACAACTCTTCCTTGTGTTCTGTGTTTTTTTTTCCCCTCAAACTCCATCTCCTGAACCATCCAAACTTATCAACCGTTTGGTTTTTGTGGTTTTTTTTTGTTTCTTGATCGATTTGATTATCCTCTTATTTCTTTTTGGTCATTCGGACCGAACTAATGATCGATTTTTAGTTCAATAAGTTGAACTGACTGATTCAGTTTAATTTTTAATACCTTAAAAAGTATAAAACAATGATCCCTTGCAACTAGAGAAAAGAATACAAGGATGGGTCAGGCTACTTGTTTAATTTTTTTTAATTTTGAAAATTGAAAAAAAATTTTATTAGTGCAATAAAATTTTTGGGCTCGAACTCAAGTTACTTGTTTAAACTTGTATTTGTTTGTTTAAAGACAAAGTGTGAAACACAAAATGCAGTTGAGTCCCTCCTTGTTACTAAGTTTAATTTAAGGAGTTGCTAAAAGAAAATTTCATTCTTAATCCTGTGATTTCTAATATGGCTAAAGGAGCAAAGGACAAATATTTGACAAGAATTTAAGTGACTACAGTGTCATCATCCTTGCACTTGGGAGGATTAAATGATATTTAATTATTTTTTGTAATTTGAACGTGTGAAAGTCTAAATGTTGCCATTTAAAACTTGAATTTACATCAATCCATTTGGATAATTAAAAATTTAAATTAAATCCTATTAATTTGGCTACATTTCACATTGCTGACAATAAATACTATTTATTAAATAGGGTAATGACTTTCTGGCCTAAACCCACAAGGATAGGGCTCATGAGGGTCAAGTCATCTATTTCCTAGCTTTATTTACAACCAAAAGCATCAATTTAATTTTGACTTGGGAATAAAAAATTTTAAAATTTCAGTAAATTTTTTCCTTACTAATCATATGAAATTATAAAACTACCTTTTTTTAATATTCATGTTAAATATTAAATAACTAGTTGTGAATTATTATAGAGTCAATTGAAAATAAATATATTTAACTAATACATGAAGGCGCGAGAATTTTACAGGGTTTTAAAAATTTAACATTATTATAAAATTTGCAACCAATTTTCCCACTTCTTAACACAAAAAATAGATCACATGATTAAATGAAAGTGCCTCTAAAGGAGTCTGAATATGCGCTAATTAAAGGAGGAGAACATTATATTATTGTAGTCAAGAACTTAACAGTGAAATGTAATGAAAATGCCTCTAAAGGAGTCTAAATATGCGCTAATTAAAGGAGGAAACATCATATTATTGTAATTAAGAATTTAACAGTGAAATGTAATGATGGTGTGAGGAAGGCAAAATCTTGAGAAGGTGAAGCAAAACTGTGACAGCATTAGTAGCAGCAAGAGCTCCAAAAGTATCAATGGCTTCGTCTCCATTTTTTCCCGCCATATCTGAGATGCCTCTTATCACTATCACTGGGAATCCATTTGATAAGCATGTCTGCAAATTAAACACATTCATTCATTCATTCATTCATTCATTCATCACTTTTTACTTAATTAAGAGACTCAATTATCATGCATCAGAGTGGCTGATTAAGAAGACTGACCATCACTACTGGGAAACTCTCCATATCAACAGAAGAAACTTGAAATGTTTGGAACAGAAAATCTCTGTAAGCTTCGTTGTCCACGTAGATGTCGGCTGATGTGCCATTCACACCAATTACTAACTTGGGATCATGTGGCAGACAAAAGCTCGAGTTTATACATTGTTCTAGTTGTATCCCCTGTCACAAAAGTTTCGGTGAGTTGAATCTCAATAAAACTAAATTAAGTCTAATGACTCAAAGTCAAAAGTCTCAGGCACTTAGCGCCTGCTGGTAGGATTGATTCATTCTATTGCAAGCAAAGCGATTCAATTTAGATCTTTATGAGTTGAAGACAGGAAATGGGACTTAAAAGGTACTTATAGATTACACACTAATAAATTGCCACAGATACAAACCTTTATTATATAAATTTTCTTTACAAGTATGTTTATTTTTATTTGTAACAATTATGAAAATTAATTTTGGCCCTCACTTTCTTGTGATCTTTCATTTTTGGCCTCCTCTTGTATCAACTTCTAAATACGTGCATCACATTAACAGTAGAATTCGAACCTTGCTCTCATAGGATATGTGTGCCGATTCATTACTAATAAAATTTAAAAGTAGAATATTGTTTTGTTAGAATGAAAAGATAAACTAACCTCCAAAGTAGCAGCAAGTTGAAGCCATTGAGAAGTAACCTTTGCCCAGATCAAACGCTGTGATAAGTTAGGTTTTCCAGTGACAGAAAAGAATTCTTCAGAACTGTAACCAACTCGTCCCAACAAATTTTTGCCTTTCGGCACATTGAAGTTTCCAAAATCCAAGCGAGCAAAGTCACTGCTTTCAAGTGTCCCGTTCGGTTTCTGCCATTATTAAACACATACATAAATTCAATTCGAACTTGAAAGAGAGCAAAATAATTATGAAGAGAATTGAAGTACCAGCCAGTCCCATAAGCCAGTATGGATGAATTGTTTGGGAATGGTGACATCTCCAAAGGAAATGGAGTCATTTGCACTACCAGCAATTCCAAAATGGAGAATTCCAATTACGTCAAACACATCAATCATCTGTTGTGTCACTGCTGCTGCATTCAGCTGTAATGGTGAAGCCAACACTAAACTCGCTTAGAGTTTTGAAAATATTGCATAAATAATCTCAATCCTCGTTAGGATTTCAGGAATGAATTAGATAAAAAGGTAGAAGAAAAGGGAAGAACGACATTTAATAACCTCTAAAAATATTATGTAAAGTTAAAAATCCTGAAATTTTGAAATTCAAAAAGGGATCGTAGTCTTCAATTGGAATTAAATTTTTTCTTATATTATTTCTTTCAGTATTCATCTTCCACATTTTCAATATTTATATTTTACATTTCTAGTACTTGATTTTTTTCTTCAAATTTTTAGTAGTCATATCAAATGTTTTTAATACACATCTTCCATGTTTTCGATATCGATATCATGAAAGATTATTATTGAAAATATCTAAAGTGACTACGTTCAGTATTGAAAATACTAGAAATAACCACTGAACATGTGAAAGATGAGTATTGATACTTCATCAGATTGTTAAGGCAATATTAACTGCAAAAGAGAAAGAACTGATGAATAAGCAATTCATGTGTACGTACCATTCCTACTCCACACCTCACAAATATAACTTTCTTATCGAAGATCTTCCCCACCCAGTATAGCCTCCCTGCAACCAACATTTTCAACACAAACTAGAACATAAGCTTCTTAACTACATGGAAACATATTCACAAAAGTAAGGAAAGAATGACAGCTGAGGACCTCATAATAAAATTAATACCTCTATCAAAAAAAAAAAAAAACAAATCAGGATGTCATCATAACTTTGGTTTCCAAACTTCAAAAAGATCCTGATTCGGCATTAATCTTTTAAGGAGATCCTTAGTTGTCATTATATGCCTGTTATATAGAAGATGAACCTGAGAGTTCCACAAAAGGGTGTTTTGGATCGGGTTTGAATGCCTTGGAAGCGAAGAAAGCGATCTCCTCAGGTGGGTAAGCCGCTATGATACCAAAGTATGGCCCTTTCAGTTTCAGTTCCTTCATCACTTGCACTGCCTTGCTTCTGCATAACGATACTGCAAATTCTGCTGTCAAACTCAACAGCAAAATTACCAATATTCTTGTACCCATGCTTGTTGAGCTTCACAGTTCTCGTTAACAGGCATGTCTCTTTACTCAGTTTAGTTAGCTCATGTTTTATAGACTGCGTCTGCCTCTTAGCTCACTTAACTTTCTCTCTCAAACTGATATCTGATTATGGTATGGAACAGTACTACCTATAAGTCAACTAACCAAACATGAAAGCTTTTGTCACTTAAGTTAAAAATCAAGATATGGAAATTTCAACGTTTACAAGGAATTGATTTATCTGAACGTGGAATTTACTCGTGATTTATTTTTAAAGAATTTTTTTTCCTGAATCCATTCACGAGAAGTCAATAGTCTGTTGAAAGTTTGATTGAAGGGCACGTGAGAGGGGTAAGTAGATATATGAATGTCAATGGGGCCCATGAATTCAAATCTCTCATCCCCTTCTCAGAGAGTGAGCCCCATGTATATGGTCTTTAGTTGTGTGGTAAAATTATTTTTATATCATGAATTATTCCTCCTTTGGGATAAACTTTTCCTAACGGCAGAAACAAATCCAGCTTCTCCATTTCCCACCACATTTATTTATTTAAAACAATACGGAATTGCCAGATACTTTACCTACATTATTATATCTACAATTTTCCAAGTGCAAGATCTAGTTATTGATTTCCACAGTTCAGGACGTCTTTGCTGTCTGACAAGGGTTTAAGCAAAGCAGCCAGAGATAGAGAAATTCATACCATATATAAAACAAAACTGGTGTCATCTTTGAGCTCGTGGTATAAGTTTATGAATTTAAGTTCTAATACAAATAAATGATTCCATCCTCTTAACATGGCCTAGATTTGGTATTTTTCACATTTTACATGTCATCCCATAGAAGCATGAAGGGGGCTGGATAAGTAACCATGAGCCCGGGTTGTGAGAAATTAGCTTAAACCAGTTTTGGAAAGCTAATCTGCAACTTCATTTTTCTATCAATGAATGTATCAGAAGGTTATGAGTTGATTAGTCCCCTCATCCTGAACAGTAACAGGCACAGGATACCCAAGATAATGTTGTCAGAAACAGTTTCATCGGTTTTGAAGCCCTTCAATTGCCTTCTTCCACTGCCATGCTCTTTGTTTTGCATCTTCAAATGACATTACTTTCTTTGGCTGCATTGTTTAATCAAAAGAAATCACAGATCATGACAATTTTAAGAGGTCAAAACGAAATCTAACAGGAAGGGCATTACAAGTTCCGGAAAACCCTTCAACATAGCTCTCCTCTTCATGAAGTTTAGACTTACATATGACATTGTAATGTGGGAGAAATACTCACGGCCAAATTATTTTGACGTCACATACCATGACCATTTGGTAAGAAGTAAGGTGTCGCTTGGTTGCCAGAAATGATGGGTATAGAATGGATTAAAGAAACAAGAATAAAAATGAACTAAATTACCCTCCCCCTCATGGTAAGCATAAAACTCAATATTATATACCACAAATGTAAAAATCACTCATGACTCTCAATCTCAAACTAAATTAGCCTCCTCCCATAGACATAATTGACTTATCTCCCCTCCATGTCTTGATCATTCCATTTTTATTTTTATTTCTTTAATCCATTTCACTCCCTTCCTTTCCAACAACCAAACGGTTTCTAAGTAACAAATTATAAGCCCTCCAGCATTAAGTCTCAGGCATTCCAGTATAATGATACTTCTGAATCCAACACTCCCCACATTCAGTTGGACGAATTCAACAATTATCACACACAAAGTAAAATAAAATATAGTGTGAATCATGCCTTAAAAGACACTGGTGTCTGAGAACGGCTTGATAACCCGGTTCTTAATTTATCTGATTTTTATTTCAAAAGTAAAGAAATAAGGAGTTTTGAAACGCCAAATATCTAATCTACCCACCATCTAAAACCTATCTTCTAAATTAAAGTTTTGTATGTTGGAAAGACTATAGCAGAGCCATGTATATCAATAACAATAATGCAGCATATTACTCAATGTCAAATATAATATGAAAATTAATTTATGTATTTATGCGTATTGTACATACCAGTTTATATCACTTACCTGACCAAAATATATAAATACACAAGCGCATGCCTCGTGATAATGTAGGCCTTTGCTTTACCATGTTATCATCATCTACTTACATTTGAACTAACCAACACACACCACACACACACACCAAACTCCAAAAATTATACATTGAAGAAAAATAACTAGCGATTTAATTCAATGCAACCAAATCAAATGCCATCACACACTGGAATTTAGGATTTATGTGGTACGCCCAAGTTCTAGTAAGACTCAGATTAAATAACAACCAAATCTATGTCTAGACCCAAGGAATAATTTGTTTCTTAAGGCAAGATTTCTACATGAGTTAAGACATTTTCCAACAAAAAGACCAAAATCCTCATGAACCTATTAGCTATTACCGGTGTTTCAATCCGAGTTCAATTTGTGAGGGCTCAAAAAGAACGCAGGGAAAAGGTGAAAACAGTTGACCAGGTAGCATTATAGCCTCTTCTATTGCTTGCATATACATTAAATCTCAAATTAAATATTTACTTAAAAGATTATACATATTGTCCATAGTCACGTTGAACTTGGGGTCTTCTTTTTTACCATCAATACACACAGCTTACGGTAAATGTAATCTGAAAAATTATAACAATATAAATATAGAGAAACAGGAACTTACTGGGCAAATCTTAAAATGTGAAGGACAGTCACTTGGACAGAAATTCACTTGGATTATCAGACCATAA